AAGGGCAGGAGCCTTTGCCAGTTCTGTTCATGTCCCGCATGCTTGGAACAATGCCCGGTATATCCTAGATGTTCAGTTGCTGTTTGTTGAATGAATATGTGACTGAATTAATGAACAGACATGTGTTAAGAGAATTAAATGAGCTATCCGTAAGTTCTTGAAGGCTGGTGCATTTGGTGGACATATTTTAGCACAGATTTAGAGCCAAACACTTACCAAGCGCCTGGGAATGTGATGGGGAGGGTACTGTAGACTTTAAGGAAACTGTTTCCTCATTCACACAACAAATACGTTCGAGTAGCGGGCACTGTTCTAAACTCAGGATAGAAGATAAAAACAAACAAATGTCCCAAGTCCTGGGCCCAGTGGTGCCAGATCCTCTGATCTTTTTTTTTTTTTCTTTTTTAGGAGAAGCTAAAACCTGAATTTTTATATGAAATCTCCCGATTTTTAAATATTGATAACTAACTTAGAATTTTTTTAATTTACTATAACAACCAAATTAAACGTTTATAACATTCAAATGTTGCCTTTGGGGCTGTAGCTTAATAATATCTGAAGAAGTCCGAAACTTCTGGCTGGGCCTGTGGGATCTCCCAGGCTGGGCAGGATTTGGGTGAATTGTGAGGTCACAAGGAGGGAGGAAGATGTTTCTGCTACTGCCTGTCCCCGGAGCAAAGACGTGGACGCAGCACAGCCGAGCGCTGGGGCGTGGGGGGCGTGATGGAAGATTATCAGTATGGGCCACGGTCTCCCTTGGGCCATGCTGCGTCATCCTTTCTAGGTTAAACCACTGCATTTGTCAGGACGCAGGTCCAGCTGCCTAAACAAGACACAGTATTGCCCAAGATAGACGTTTGTCTCTCTCACGGTCTGTGAGCGTAAGCAAACTGGAGTGCTTCCTTTCTCTTCTTGCTTTGCTCTACCTCGGGCTCCTGACCAGCTCCCTGCACCTGCTCGGCCACATTCCAGCCGGCAGGAAGGGCCGGGGTGGGTGGAGGAGACCGGGTTCCTTTCTCTAGAGGGCACGATCCAGACTTTGATCCCAGTACTCCTGTTCACACCCCACTGGCAGGGCTTGGGCACACGGCCACGTCCAAGGCCAGGACAGGCTGGAAAATGTAGGTTTTTACTTGGGCTATAGATCAGCAAAAAAAATTGTATTTTTCTACTAGAAAAAGAGAGTGGATATCACAGATATCAAGCAGTGTGTGGCATTTGCTCTTCTGGATCTCAGGTTCTGTGAGGTCAGGCACCTCTTACAGTGCCCTCAGATTTTTTGGTTTTGTTTTGTTTTTAAGATTTATTCTTTTTTTTTCTTTAGAGAGAGAGAAGGGGGGCGGGGCAGAGGGAGAGGGAGAGAGAATCTACAGCGGACTCCCCACTGAGCCTGGAGCCTGACGTGGGGCACAATCTCAGGACCCTGAGATCACCAGCTGAGCCGAAATCAACAGTCAGACAGTTAACTGACTGAGCCACCCAGGAGCATCTGCCCTCGGTTTTTTAAATTATTTTAGCGGACCCTAGTAGTGCCAATGGAAGGTGATACTCAACATGTATTTTTTCTCTTTTAGATTCTTCTGGACCATACTATTTGTGTTTAGATTGAAGTCACGCGGCGAGATTTTGTTTTGTTTTATGTTCGTAGTTGGTCTAGAGCAGTGTTTTTCAAATGTCTTGGTCTTGGGAGCCCTTTTCACTCTTAAAAATTACTAAGGATACTAAAAAGCTTTGCTTATGTGGACTATATGGATTTATATTTACCATATTGAAAACTGAAATGGACATTGACAGGAATATGCAAATAAGCATTCCATTAACTTGGGCCCTCTAGAAGTCTCCACTGCAGAATTGTGACACACTGATAGTAAAGGAGCAAATAACGTTTGAGTGATATTATGAAAATAATATTGACCTTGCACAACCCTTAAAAGGGTCTTGGGGATCCTGTACCACACTTGGATAGCTACTGGTCAAGAGAACATAACTGGTTATGTTGACTTGGGTAATAGTTGGTGTTGAAACTGATTCATGCTAAGGTTAGAGGTTAAAAAACAAATTAAGACAGGACGACTGCCATTGAGTAGTTAATGGTCCAAAGAAATAAGTCGACCGACCAATCTATAAACTTCTTTCATCTTAGATTTGAGAGGAGTTGGTTTCTATTTCTGAATTATAAATAAATTTATGTGTGGGCGTTAATAGTGATGGGTTTGCATCTATGGCAAATTAATAAAATCTGGTGTTCAAGATATATTGAATTACGCATTTTGTACATCCAGAAGCTCACTACAGAGAAGTTTGTTTGAGTCTTGTGCGTGCTTATCATTGTTTTTGGCCACCCAGGCCTGGCCACCAGTACCTTTTCTCACTGGGCACATCCCACTGCCTCCTGTGGAAGTGTCAAGTGCCGGGGGTTTGCATTTTTCCGGTGCCGGGCTGTGGGCATGTGACCTAGGCTCTGCCAGCCACGCACCCTCATCCCATACTTTGAACTAGAAACTGGTGACATCAAGCCAAGATATGGCTGCTGGTGGTGGTGCTGGAAGCTGGGGGCCCCCTTCCCTATCAGACCAGTGCTGCTGAGTGATTTGGGGGGGAGGTGTTTCTGGATATGTAGCCTCCAAGCCCCATTTCCCTGGCCCTCCTGGAAATCTGTGATCTTTCCACTATCCTGTGAATTCAAGAGTCAGTGCCTTCGCTTGCAACTAAGAACCCTGCTTGATGCATTCCCAAAGACAGCATCTCTGCAAGTATTGTTTGGAAACCTCGCGTATCGGATTTACCTGGGCCACATCCTAACCATCAGTGCCCATTGGTGGGCTGACAACTGATGGATTCAGATTCTAGGAATCTGCATTTTAAATAAGCCTCAGGCTTGCATAACTTTTAGATACAGTAAAATTTAAGAACCGCTGTTATAATGTTTTTAATTTTAAAAATTATTTGTTCTCCACTTAAGGATCTGAGTAACCCCCCAAAAATAACTCTAGGCTTTCACAAGGCCCTAGTCAATGACTAACTAGCGTTCCGTTGTCCCCTTCCCCCCACCCAGCCCCAAATTCGCCATAAGCCTTTTTGTTCTGTCTCCTTAACTGTTTTAATGTCTTTGTTTCTTTCTCTTCCTTCTTTCCTTTCCTCTCTCCCTGCCTGCCTTCTTTTCTTTCTTTTCTTTTCTTTCCTTTCTTTCTCTGGTTTATTTCTTCTTACTGAGGACTGGCAATTCCCCAAATGAGGTTGCCTACACTCTGTGACACCAGAACACCAGAATTAATTAGGGTTTTAAGCTACACTGTGACTGTGGCACTCCCCAGGTCATTTCTTTCCCAGCCATTTCTGCAGCCTGCAAGCTTAGATCTCCCTGTTTATTCCAGGCATCACTAGAGAGGGTGAAGCACATGCCACGTGACTTTCCTTGGAGGGTTTCTCCGGCATGGATTCAGGCCAGAGAAAAAAAAAAGAAGGGTTGAATGATCTACATGTGGGATTTCTAGAATCACAGAATGCTGTGATCTGAATGAATGAATGTAGGTTAAGCCCCTCTTGTCATAAATGAGGAACTAGAGAGAAGATGTGCCCAGCATCACATAAATGATTTAGTGCAGTAAAAGGCCAAAATGAATTTAGAAGAAGTGAGAAGTGGTGAATGCAGAGCCTGACCTGAAGTAGCATAAGAGAGGAGACTAATTAATATTCATGAATGACTATTTGAACTTGGGCACATTCACGTAACCCTGAGCCTCAGTTTCTAAAACTGCAAAATAAAGATTTTAATAATAGCTGACACGTCTATAATCTTGACTGTGCTAGGAACTATTCCAAGCACTTCATATGCTCCCTGATTTCATCCTTATCACAAAGATATGACATAGGTCATGTTATTTCCCCCACTGTCCCTTGCACGTAAAAAGGCCATATCACTTACGTAAAGTCTCACAGCTGGCATATTTGTTTTCTTGTGCTGCTTTACAAATCACCACAAGCTTCGTGGCTTGAGCTACCATACATTTATTATCTCCGAGTTTGGTGGGTCTGGAGCCTGGGCCCAGCGTATCCGGGTGCTCTGCTCAAGATCTCACAAGGCAGCAATGGACGTGCTGACCAGGGTAACGGTCTCATCTGAGGCTTGGGGTGCTCTTCCAATCTCACATGATTACTGGCAGAATTCATTTCCCTGTAGCTGTGGTATTTATAGCAGCTGAGTCTTCAAGGCCATCCGGAGACTGTCTGTCTTTGAAAGGCCTCCCCTGATTAGGCCAGGCCCACCCAGGATCATCTCCCGCTGGTTAGACGGCTTAATCTGTTTACGACATCTCTTCATCCCTGCTGTGTGACATAACGTAAACATGGGAGTAGTATTCCATCACCTTTGCTGTGTTCTGTAGTCTAGAAGTCAGTTACAAGTCTCCTCCACACTCAAAGTGGGGGAGGGGGGGCGGTTTACCCAAACCCCTGGATACCAAGGGGAAGGAGTCAGTATTATTAAATAAATAAATAAATCTTAAAAAAAAAAAACAAAAAACAGAAAACAAAGAAACGGAGGGCCTGGTCTTATAATTCTGCCTTCCACAGCTAGTAAAGCTCAGCCTAGGCCCAGACGGACTCCAGGTGTCGGAGTCCATGGCCCCAGTGTCCAAGCTCTTCACCGTTAGGATCTGTCTCCCTTTGAACAAAGTAAACCCGCTTTATAACCTTGCATGGAGTTCTGAGTAAGAAAACCCCCAGAAGACACACTGGGTGCTAAGCAATAGTGTATTTCTCGTCACACCCCTGCTTTAAAAGGTCTGCTCTTAAGGTCTGCTTTTAACCACCTGCCGTTGTGTATTTTCAGGAAGAGATTTCCAAAGTCTCTCTAAAAACTCAGGTTATATAAGTCATTTCGATGTGTTTATATTCTGAGCCAGAAATAACCCTGGGGTTTGAGATTTGAGACTCGCATTCTAAAAAAAAAAAAAAAAAAAGATAAATAATTGTAGCTCTGTGTTTTGTCTTTGAAACAGATGAAGTGATTGAGAAGAAACAGTGAACACCTTCGCTCTGTGGAAAGGACAACATGGATCAGCCATTTACTGTGAATTCTCTGGTAGGTAGCACCAACCGATACCTTACATATGGCCTGAAAACCCAGAAAGAAGAACAGAAACATAGCACATGTGAAATGAGTCACCGTTACTTCACGAAGTTGAGCACTTGTCGCTCCTCATCCATCTGTGGGGTCCTCTCCTTTGAGGAAGTGACTAATAAAGCCATCTTCACTAGAGCTAAAAGTAATTCTTTTTGTCCACAAAAGTGTGAAATTTTAATCTCTCTGGTTAGATTCCAGGAGTGTGGGGGAGAGGAACTTCAGAATTGACTTTGTAAGCAGGGACTTCAACCTCTTTGTGCTTCAGCTTCTTCATGGATAAAAACTGGAAGCTTCCCTTGTGTGGTAATGACCGAGGGAGACGTTCTATATACGACACGCAGATGTTACTTTGGGAGCCAGCGTAAAGTTCCACACGCTTGAAACTCTTGTTCTTCTCACTTTGCCCTGTAGAGCCCAACGCGGTCCGTGCCTTCTCTAGCTACATCTCAGAAGGAACAACATGCCCGAGACGAAATAACAGGAGGCCTGGGATCTCAGGGACATATTGTGAGTCCCAGATCATTCTCTGGGTGAGAATGTAGGCACATTATATAACCAACACGGCCCCATTTTTGTACTTTGCACATTACGACAGTTGGGAACAATATTTTTAATGTTCCCAGCCGATCATGGGGTCTTGATCAAGGGAAGCTCTCACAACTGTTAGCCTTCTCCTGATGACCAGCAGTATACTGAATACCTGCACTCGCAAAGCTTTAGCCCCAGATCACAAGGAAATGGAGGGGGCGCCTGGGTGGCTCAGTCGGTTGAGCTGCTACCTTCGGCTCAGGTCGTGATCCCAGGGTCCTGGGATCGAGCCCTGCATCGGGCTCCCTGCTCAGCGGGCAGCCTGCTTCTCCCTCTGCCGCTCCCCTTGCTTTGTGCTCTCTCTCTCTGCCTTTGTCAAATAAATAAATAAATAAATCTTAAAAAAAAACAGAAAACAAAGAAATAGAGGGCCTGGTCCTTGCTCTGAAATAGGTTGTGACCCACGCCCTCCTTGCCAGGAATGTCCTTCACAGATGCTCAGGTGCTCTGAACAGTGCAGAGAACTGTGGGAACTTCTTCACTTTCCGACCTCATGCTGTCGGGGCACTGTGGGGGAATAAAGGCAGCCCCCTTTCCCACCTGCAGAGGAAGGGATCATCCTTTTGGCACATCTTAGGTGTTTTCTAGAACATTAGGTAGCAATGATTAAAATGTTAGTGGACATGTCACTGTGAAATGAACACTAAGGCTTTTTCATCTGGAGATTTTGTATTTCGTAAGGTATCGCAAACCCAACATTATAGATCTATGAAGACATGAGGCTCTTTCCCCATTTACTTCTGAAATCACTTTTGAATTTGGGAAGGATAGGACCATTCAGGAGAGCGAAAACAAATCTTACTTTTACTTCCTGGTAAAAAGATAATCCAGTTACAATCACATTGCACCTGTTTCTCTCTTCCTCTTTTATTTGGTACATGTTTTGATTATCATCTGTGCTGCAAAGAATATGCTACATCCTAGGGAACAGGGATGGATGGACACTGCACACAAATAATTATAATTCAGTGCAGACTGTACAGTAATAAAAAGTGGGCAAATTACTTTTGCACATTCAGGAGACTGGAAGCCCTCTTTGGAAAAATGTGCTGATTTCCATAGTTTTTTTCCCCAGTCATTTTCTGATGTCATTGACGCCTTCACCTGTGGTCGAATAGCAGCATTTTCCTTGAGGGCTGCTGGGCGCTCTGGGTGAGGGAAGGGCGGGCTGTGGCTGCCATGTCCCGGGCTTCTCCCTTGGACAAGATGGCACACACTCAGGTCTGAGGCTCAGACGTCAACAAGCTTCGATTCCTGCTTCGGAGGAGGGGAGGCCTCCAGCAGCTTCTCAGAAATTAGGAAGTCTTTTCGAAAAGGAGAGGAGCAGCGTGACAGGGTTTGGCTAGAAGGAAGTGTGCCTTCATGTAAGGTGAGGTCACTGAAGCAGGGCTGGGGGTTATGTTCAGGCACACCTCTCCGTTCTCAGAATTCTGGACCAAGGGGAATTGACTGAAGATGCCAAGGTCAAAAATCCAGGGCATGCTTTATTCTTTATCACTTGGCCCTGGAGACAGACTCTGGGAGACTGGTAAGTCTCTTTATCCCTTCCACTCTAAATTGAACTGGCCACCCAGTTGCGGGAAGGATCGCTGGAGACTTCAGCACCAGGAAGCCCAGGCCCTGAGAGCTTCCTCTTGGGAGAAGGAAATGGGGAGGAGAACAGGTTTATGCCTCTCTGGTTGGTTATAAATTTCACCTTTAGAAACAAGAATCAGGGCACCTGGGTGGCTCAGTGGGTTAAGCGTCTGCCTTCGGCTCAAGTCATGATCTCAGGGTCCTGGGATCGAGCCCCGCATCAGGCTCCCTGCTCAGTGGGGAGCCTGCTTCTCCCTCTCCCTCTGCTGTTCCCTCCTGCTCGTGCTCACTCTCTCAAATAAATAAATAAAATCTTTAAAAAAAAAAAAAAAGAAAGAAGAATCGTTCCAGGTCTCTAGGGTTCTCTCTGTTACAAAATTGCCACCACAGTGGACCCCAGGGCATCGGAAGATTCATTGCAGCCTGCCCTGACAGCTTGGATCCGTCATTCATGGCCAGACAAAAACCATTCCACCTGGATTTCTTTTTTAACTTTATACAGACCTTTTAATCAAATGCGCTGCCCTTGACTGACAGAGGCAGACTCGGGGAGCTAAATTTGCTCTGGGCTAATTCCATTCCTGTGGATCAAAGGTTGCTAGAGGGGTTTAAAGCAGCGTTTCTCAAACTGCAGCATGCATCAGTGCCTCTGGGAACACCAGTTGAAACATGGGTTCTTCAAGCCCGCCTCCAGTCTGTAGATGCCAGGGGAGGCCTGTTGAGAATTTGTACTTTTTTTTTTAAACATTGTTTTTTTAAGATTTTATTTATTTATTTGAGAGAGAGAGAGAGAAAGCAGGAACAGGGGGAGGGGCAGAGGGAGAAACAGGCTCCCCGCTGAGCAGGGAGCCAGACACAGGGCTCTATCCCAGGACCCTGGGACCATGACCTGAGCCAGAGGCAGATGCTTAACCGACTGAGCCACCCAGGTGCCCCGGGAATTTGTACTTTTAAGAAACTCCCAGTTGATGCTGATACTGCTGGGGTCAGCAGACTGGTCTGAGCGCCAAAGTCACCTGCTTATTTTGAAAACATTTTTGAAAATAGAGCCAGGATCATTTGCTTACATGTTGTGTGTGGCTGCTTACGCATCGGCAGAGCTAAGTAGTTGTGAGGGGACTCAGGGCCTGCAAAGTCCAGAAGGTTTGCTATACGGCCTTTAACAGAAAAAAATTTGTTGACTTTTTTGCCTTTCTGAAGCGCTGAGCTTTTCATTGAATCATTGAATAATTATCCTGAATGCATACGTTCTGTGTTTTCCCAAATGTGTACGGATACTATTTTTATGAATAAAGTACAAATGTATGTCTTAATATCACTGACTTTTTCTTAGTAATGATTTTCATTATTTTCTCAGTCAGGGACTAATTAACCATGCCTGTTAATGTACTATCATTATTATGTGCAGATCTAAGAGTTTTTTTTATGTTAAGAAGAAATAGGGGGTATCCTTGAAAAGGACTTATTGGTGAGGTTTCATTCACTTGGTGAAGAAACAGGTCCTAAAAGCATCTTATTAAACTGGATACATTGTGGAAGAGAATTGAATCCTTAGAGTAACTTTTGAATGCAGACCATCTCTTGGAGACCCTTCAGAGGAGCATGACGTGAGCCCTCCCCAGACAAGAGTCCACCTGCTGGACTGCTTCACATGAGCCGGAATGGAAGTATCCATGAGGACATAAGGGTCAATGATACTTTACCTAAAATGACCTAAAGCATTTGCATACCCAGGAACTGCCACATAATTGTACCCTGAACCCTAAAGGAGATTTGCCCCCAACACGAAGGTGTGGTTATCCTAGAGATGCATGTCTTCTTGGTGTCTGGCCCATGTGTTTCTGCACAAAGATTGCACTTCTATGGTATCATTAACTCTTAGGAAACGCTTTCCTTAGGGACTGGTGTCGAGTATTTAGTGCAGAAACACACCTGTAATTTCAGTCCTGTTCATTTCTTATTTCTACTCAGGGATTCAATTTTTGCTTTGCAGAAAAAGTTGGCTGCTATGCCTGACCATACGGACGTCTCCCTCAGCCCAGAAGAGCGAGTCCGTGCCCTCAGCAAGCTTGGGTGTAATATTACCGTCACTGAAGACATCACCCCACGCCGCTACTTTAGATCTGGGGTAGAGATGGAGAGAATGGCGTCGGTGTATTTGGAAGAAGGAAATTTGGAAAATGCCTTTGTCCTTTATAACAAATTTATAACGTAAGTCTTTTGTTTGGGAGGTCTTCGAAATGGGAAAATATTTACGTGCTGTGTTAGTGAAATGGTTTGGACTTCAGGAATATTTTCATATTCAGACCAGTTTTGCAATCTTCACAAGCATTAAATGTCCCACGTTTTTAGGTTACCAGGTAATGTATTCAAAGGCATCCCCACACCATCTCTGAGGCTCAGGCATGGAGCGAGCCTCAGGGATGTGAAACAAGTCTCTCAAATAGCCCCGTGTAGTGACATGCATGTGCCTGTGTTTGGCACTCTTCACCAAGAAAATGTCCTGTTTTATGCTGTCCTCCCCCCACAGGAATGTCAGCTTTGTGAGAGCAGGAACCATATTGCAGCTCCATCCACAGCGCCTGGAACAGACCAGCGCCTGGAACAGACCATTAACGGTTTTAAAATTTGACTTGATGGGTTGGGACGGGGCGGTAAGTTGGCAGCTATAGGAAGGATCTGATTCAGGGATATAGAAAGTAGCAGTTTCACATTGTAGTTAGTATTTTTTTAAAGACTTATTTATTGATTTGAGAAAGAGAGAGAGTGGGAGGGGGCAGGGAGAGAGGGAGAGAGAATCTCAAGCAGACTCCCCACTGAGCTTGGAACATGACATGGGGCTTGATCCTAGGATCCTGAGATCATGACCTGAGCTGAAATCAAGACTCGGCCACTTAACCGATGGAGCCACCCAGGCGCCAATAGTTAGTATTTTTTAAAAAGGCAATTTACTGGGGCGCCTGGGTGGCTCCGTCGGCTAAGCATCTGACTTCAGCTCAGGTCATGATCCCAGGGTCCCAGGATCGAGCCCCACATCGGGCTCCCTGCTCAGCGGGGAGTCTGCTTCTCCCTCTGCTTCCCCCCCTGACTCGTTCACATTCTCTCTTTCTCTCAAATAAATAGAATCTATTAAAAAAAGAGGCAATTTATTTAGCTGTGTAATAGTGCTATGTATAAAAGAGCTTCCAAAGTGTTGAGTGAAAGCAGCTACCTGAAACCCATACTTTTAGCTTAATTAAAAGTCACATGATGATTGACTCCCTCGTTCACTTGGGGATTTTTAACCTGAGAACATCTGAGAAGTGGACAGTTGGCAACACTCAGCCTACATGTGGAAACCACTGGTTTCTAGAGAGCTAACAATAAATACGAAATCGGAAGCTGTTGGGTATCACTGATAGCACACATTCTCCAAAAACTTTAATTTCTGAACTCTAGGTCACCAGTTGCTAATATTTCTGTGTTGCCTTCTGCTGGTGTTTTCTTTGCCCACGTTCCTGTGGGGTCATAAGCGTGGTTAAGCGAAAGACCACTGCACTGTCCACATTATCGAGTCACCGGAATGTTGGAGTTCCCTTCTGTCATGAACCACGTGGCAATTCGTAATTCACGTATCCCCTGTGGGCCTCAGTTCCTCATTACAAATGGAAGACGTAGGGGCAGAAATCTCTCTTCTCTCCAAATGGAAGATTTCTCTAAGCTGTCTTCAACTCCAAACATTTGTGACTTTATTCTATTTATAAAGAATAGCTACTATAGGCAACTTACAATTTCTGTAGCCTCTTTAAACCCATAATTTCCTCATTCAAGAAATGAGTTATTTTACCATCCCCATGTCCCCTGTAGGCCACAAGACGAGAGCATGCATGATCTGTAAGCGAGAGGACACCAATTATTATAAGGTATCACGTATTAGTTGATCTTAAATAGTATTTATAGCCCATCATGGTCCATCAAGGAAGGACTTTTCGTTTATTCCGCAAATATTTACTGAACACACATCATGAGCTGGACACTATTCTGGCTGCTAGGGATACATCAGTAAGAAAAAAAGAAACCCAGAATTCCCTGCCCTTGTGAAAGCAAAATCTTCATGTTACGTGGAAGTGATGCATCTGGTTTGGTCTAAGGATTTCCCTTTACCTCTGCTGTGCCTTGTTCCTCAAAAAGGTGATGAAAAATAATGAACTCCTAATTTAGCACCTCCTCATCCACTAGGGATTCTGACTGTCATTTCTCTTAGTTGTGAATTTTCAGTTAAGAGTTTCTGGTATCAGGGCGCCTGGGTGGCTCGGTCAGTGAAGCGTCTGCCTTCAGTCAGGTAACGATCCCAGGGTCCTGGGATCGAGTCCCGTGTTGGGCTCCTCGGCTCCTCCACCCTGTTCTCCCTCTCCCTCTCTCTCACACACACATAAATAAATAAAATCTTTAAAAAAATAATTTTTGATATAGACACATAGGCACCATGGCACTCCTGATTCATCAGTGGTCCTTTGAGTCTTCTTCAACGGTGAGAAGAGATTACATTGATCTTCCTAAACTCTTTTTTTTTTAATTTTTTGTTGTTATGTTAATCACCATACATTACATCATTAGTTTTTGATGTACTGTTCCATGATTCATTGTTTGTGCATAACACCCAGTGCTCCACGCAGAACGTGCCCTCCTTAATACCCATCACCAGGCTAACCCATCCCCCCACCGCCCTCCCCTCTAGAACCCTCAGTTTGTTTCTCAGAGTCCATCGTCTCTCATGGTTCGTCTCCCCCTCCGATTTCCCCCCCTTCATTCTTCCCCTCCTGCTTTCTTCTTCTTTTTTTTTTAAACATATATTGTATTATTTGTTTCAGAAGTACAGGTCTGTGATTCAACAGTCTTGCACATTGCACAGCGCTCACCATAGCACATACCCTCCCCAATGTCTATCACCCAGCCACCCCGTCCCTCCCACCCCCCACCACTCCAATCTTCCTAAACTCTTAACATTTTTACATGATCCTCTGTGTTGCCAGCAGCACACGTGAGTGAGATAGTGCTCTGGCGGATCAAGCACCCAGGACCTGAGAAGGACCAAATTGACACGGTCTCTTAGGGAGCATCCTGACCCTCTTAACCTCAGCGCTCAGTGCACAGAGCTTACTTCCCTGGAATGCCAAAATCAGACTCATGCCAGCCTTTGGTGGAAAGGCTGATGGAAAGAATATAGGTTAAATAATAATGTATTAAGCACGTCCTTTTTGAAAAGGAGTTTCGTTCTTGTATTAGAAACCTTCACTGACGGGGCGCCCGGGTGGCTCAGTCCGTTTAGTGTCTGACTCTTGATTTCAGCTCAGGTGGTGATCTCAGGGTCGTGCGATCAAGCCCCGCACTGGGCTCCACGCTCAGCAGAGTCTACTTCTCTCCCGCTTCTTCTCCCTCTGCCCCTCCCCCTGCTCATGCATGCCCTCTCTCTCTCTTTCTCTCTCAAAATAAATAAATAAAATCTTTAAGAAAAAAAGAAACCATCGCTGAGCTTTTTCTGTCATATAATGCTAAGGATGTGCTTTCTCTTTTCCTAGCTTGTTTGTAGAAAAGCTTCCCGGCCACCGAGATTACCAGCAATGTGCAATCCCAGAAAAGCAGGATATTATGAAGGTATTGTGAGGTCGATTCTCCCCCCGGGGGTCAAATGCTCCACACGTCTCCTCCTCCTTCATCTCATCCTCTGGAGAGTTTGAGCACAGAAAATTCATTCCATTAGCCAAGATATTTCAATTTCTTCTTGGACCTTTAATCAATTGTTCCGGAGCCAGTGTGGGATGTCTAATTGAAACTGGAACGGAGGAGAAAAGAAAAAGATCGAGAATGTGCTCAGTCTCTTTGTGGCGTGAGGAAGGAATTGTTCACTGTTCTTCCCAGGGATTGCAAGAAAGGTGGTCCAATTCCCCGGATTTGTTTGAGAGTCATTTTGGCGGGTCTTGATTCTTCCGTATAGTCCTGAACCTCAGAAGTGTTTGAAAATCAGTGTTGATTATTAAGGTGGCCCCAAAGTTCTAGTTGTTTTCTTGTAGTACCCCGAAAAGCAGGATATTATGAAGGTATTGTGGGGTGCTAGCCTATGGCATAATCAAGTGTTTAAGGGTAAGCGGTGGCTTGAAATAGTCTCAAGGAAAAGGAAGATGGTTGCTGAAAAGTTCTGAATTCACCATCAACCTTGGTGACCGATAGAGCTTCAGGTATTTTTAGAGGAGAATATATATATATATATTTATATTTATATTTATATTTATATATATATATATATCCTTTTAAATAACATTTTTAAAATGTTTCCCACGTATTTGTGTTAAGTAGTGTGGGTTGATCTTATGTGGAGGAATATAAAACGGTATATACAAAGCCATGAAATTTTAAGTAACTCTCCAGAGATGCTTGACCATATAATGGATGACAGGCTCTCTTACCAGCATGTCTGGCCTGAGGCTGCCTGTATGAACTCAGATTGTGCCCAATGGTCATCTACATTTGTAAAAATTTCTATACACACTTACCTGAAGGGGCGCTCACTGCCATGCCTTGTGTAGCCTTTCCACCAAATTCTCTTGTTCATTCAGACTCGGGCTGTTCTGTATGTTCTGCCAAGCTGACTCTTTTGCTCTGATTTAGTTTTATTCTTATTTCTTCTCATAGGAAACCATTCTCCAAAAGTATATACATTTTCTTTGTTTATGCTTGTTGAATAAATGGATGGGTGTGAGGATGGGAGGATGGATGGATGGATGGATGGATGGATGGTTGGTTGGATGGATGGATGGATGGATGGATGGATGGTTGGTTGGTTGGATGGATGGATGGATGGTTGGATGGTTGGATGGATGGATGGATGGATGGATGGATGGTTGGTTGGATGGCAGAAGATTAAGAGAAAAGAAATTTTAGTGGAAGAGCCTGGCCAGAGTCAGATTTGGATTCTAGTCATAATGGGGCCACTAATAGTGGGGGTAGTAGTACTTCTAATCTCTATTAGAAGAAGGGCCTTTGTTCCCTCATCTCTGAAAAGGAAGGTGGTACTTGGACTTAATCAGATTTCCCAGATTTTCTGTCCATTAAGAAGAATCACAGAGAAATTGTTTGAGATCCAGATTCCCCAACCCCTTCTCTAAACATGTTGACTCGGGGGAACTGGGAGGAGGCCTAGGAATCTATTTGTATACAAAGTGCCTCAGCCTCTTTTTTGCAGTCAGGCCTAGCAATCCCTACCTACTGTTTTCTCCAGCATCGCTTCGAACTATGATTTCATAGCATTTGCACACAGTGGAATGTGCAGTTACAAACCCACTGCTTGAAAACGGGGTACCTACCTAGACGGAATGCTTACCTACCCGAGTCGACTGAGGTCTTACGAGAGGGATAATGCTTTCCCTTCCCTATTGAAAATTTGTGTTTTGGAGCCATAGCAAGGAGAGGTTTATATGTCCACCATCATCTTTGGTTACTTGTGTCTTGATTTTCTAATACACATACAAGCTGTTTTTCTTTCTCAGCTGAAAGACTATACTGAGACTCCCACTAATCAATATGTATATATATATTTTTAAAAGAAACTGAAGGAGATTGCATTCCCAAGGACTGATGAATTGAAAAAGGACCTTTTAAAGAAATATAACATAGAATACCAAGAATATTTGCAAAGCAAAGTAAGTTCAATTGGTACATTTATTTCATGACTGTTTTCTGTGCAAATATTTTTTTTAATTTCATGTTCATGTGAGTTTTTCGAATGGCTTGTGCATTTAAATTAAAAATTAAAGACACAGTGATGTAAAACCAATAAAAAATTCATGTTGATATACAGGTTAAGCACTTGCACCAAAGATGTGGTATTTTTATTACCCCACAACATCTAATCATGTGATGCATTAGAAAATAAACTTCCCACAGTGATTTAAATGGAGCTTTTTGACCAACTCTTGCCACTGTAACCTTGAGGCAGATGACTGCTCTTTGGTGATGAACAGAGGCAGTGGGACATAGGGAGAACAGTACATAGTTTCTGATTTATCTTATTACGCAGGCCTTGGAAATGTGAATTCGATTCTTCCATCTTACAGTCAATATTACATTGAGAGGGAATAATAGCTAACCATATGAGTGAAATGTAATCGTATCACCCATGGATGGTGGCTTCTGCATCATTATTACATAAAGAGTGACAATGATAATGATGTCTAAGAGATTGAGTGGCATTAAGAGAAAAAATTGATCTCTAGGACCTCAAGTTCAAAACTCAAACTCTTAATGTCTTTAGCAATGTTATAAAAATCGCTTTGCTTTTTTTGTTGGACTGCGTGTTTATGTGCTTTGAAATTGTCACCTGTGCTGGCTCTCGCTTGAGTTCAGTCTCATGAACGCTGAATGTGGCCCCGGGAACCTCCGGGCCTCCTGTGGGCGTAGCTGGAAGTCAGGGTTGAGTGCGGCGTTTTGACCAAGGGACAGAGGGAATGTTGAAATCCGAACGTCCCCTCAAGTGCGGCTATGGATGATTTGGATTTGACTTGAACTGTGTTAGATGAGAAGGCTCTTGGAGGTTCAGACAAAGCAACCGCAAAGGAGAGAAAGGCCCAGGCCAGTCTTCCTTCCCATCAGCAGCGTGGTCGTCGCCTCAGGGTCTCCCAGGGAGGGACAGCCTGGTCTGCCTTTGATGACACCAATTAGGTCCCAGTGGGCAACAGTGTCCCGAAGTACATGTCACCGAGAAATCCGTGTGGAGATAGAGTGGCAGCCTTTATGCCTAGGAGAGATGGACATGCCCATCAGTAAGCCCTTGCTATAGGCAGCATGGGCATCATCGGGAACTTGTTCGAAATGCAGACTCTCAGGCCACCCCCCACTCCTGCTGAGGTGGAATCAGCCCTTCTGACGAGACCCTGGGGGATTCGTGCGCACCCCCAAACTGCTGCCGTAAGCTGTGTCCCCCACCCCGCCCCTCCCAAGGTGACTTTTAATCAAAACCATTTGAGGAGCTTATTAAAGATTTACATTCTCTGACCTAATAATGCCTGGATTTTTTTTTTTTTTTAAGACTGGGGAGCCTGGGAATCTTCATTTTAACAAAATTCCTGGCTCGTCCTGATGGAGATGATCGGACCCCATTTTGAGAACCGTTTCCTAGGGCTTCCCCCTTCTCCCTAAAGTTCCAGCAGTCTGAGCTCTAGAGTCCAAGGCAAGAGGTTCTAGGGCAACACCGGCCAACAGAACTTCCTCCCATGGTGGAAATGTTCCGTGGGGGAAGCTGCCAGCCACGTGATACCTAAAAGGTGGCTGGCAGGACTGCGGACCTCAATGTCTAATGTCGTTCGACTTGAATCAATGTAAACTTAAGTAGCCCACAGGGCTGGCGGCTACTGCATTGGCCAGTGAGGTCTAGAGTGAGAGAACCATCCCCGAGATATTTCGCTCCGGTTATCGGTGAGGCAGGCCACGCCGCCAACCGGGTGACCTTGATTTGCTAATACGCTTCTAACGCGCAGGGGCATGGAGGGGACGTGACTGTCACGGCCTGCCCCCGGTAACATAATGAGTGGACATGGAGCTGCCGCCTTGATCAGACTAAGGGGCTCTTGCCGTGGTGGTTTCTTATTTCCCTCGCCGTCACCTGCGTGTCCCTGCGTGCGCACCGCAGCGTCTGTGTCTCTGTCCTTGGCGAGCCGGGAAGTTAAGTGTCTAATCCCAGTTGGCTGGCGCCTTTTCCAGAACAAACACAAGGCGGAAATTCTCAAACAACTGGAGCATCAGAGCCTGATCGAGGCCGAAAGGAAGCGGGTGGCTCGGATGCGCCAGCAGCAGCTGGAGTCGGAGCAGTTCCTATTTTTCGAAGACCAGCTCAAGAAGCAGGAATTAGCCCGGGGTCAGGTGCGAAGCCAGGAAACGCCGGCGCTGGCGGAGCAGATCGACGGGAGCGCTTTGTCCTGCTTGTCCGCGCCGCGGAACAGTGCCCTGCTGAATGTGTTCGCAGACCAGCCTCCTAAGAGCGAGACGGCCCCTGATGCCAAGCACTCTCCTCCCGTAAACCGGGCTTCCAAGCCCGCGGCCGCTCTGAGCGCCGCCGTGCACAGTAAGTGATGGGCGGCCTCCGGGCCAGGCCCGGCCTTGCTTCTGACCGAGCCTCCTTTCCGCGATGGCTGGGACGGGGCTCCTCTTCCCATTATCCGCGGTGGTGGCGCGGCGGCAGGGTGTGCTGTGAATTTCAGTGTCGTGCGGCTTTCCCGCGGCGGTAACCTAACGTTCAGCAGCACGATTTAACCGCCCCCCCCCCGGCCCGCCCCCGTAGAGCAGCAACCCTCTGATAAACGGGCCCTATGTGGTCATGCGGCCAGAGATTTGAAAAGAGAATTCCGAGCATTTTTTTTTTCTTTCCTGTATTTTCACCAAGAAACACCTGAATCTTAAAGGTGGCCACTTAAACACTGGAAAGAAGATGCCGAGAAAATGGTTGGCACAGACCTCGGCTTAAAACGTCAGTGTTTCACCTTTTCCTGCCCCAGGAGGGTCTTGCGCACACAGGTAGTCAACCTCCAGGTGGATTATGTGCTTCTGCTGCCCACAGTTAGGGCTGCGCGGGGGCGGCTGCATCCCCGCTGACAAGGTCCCAAATCCAAAGGCAGACCCTGTCGGATGGCGTCTTGTTTCCATTTATTTTAAAAAGAGTTGTGGTAGGCAACCGCTTTATAAATTACCCCATTGCGAATTATTCCTGAAAACAGTACTCTTATTTAACCATTACCAACTTCCATAAAGACATAAAGTAACATGTGGAAGACATAGTGAAGAGCATCTATCCTACGGTCTGTGAGATACATGCTCTGCAGCCTCAGCACTTAGCAGTGCACTTGCTTTGTGCCGCAAAACAAAACAAAAACAAAACCCTCACACATACGTGTAAACAGTTGATCTAAGGTGTAAAGGTGTTAAAGTGCTGGTGCCTCCCCCCCCCCTTGTTCATGAAACAATTTATAAGCAAAGAGGAATTTTACCTTCCTTCTCGTTGATGCTTACTGTCAAAGAGTTTTAAAAAAAATACAGAAAGTGGAGCACCTGAAAATTTCATCGTTTATGTTTCGATGGCCCTGCAGTTGCTTGCCAAAAACAGCTCTGACGGATGGGATGTAAGATTTGTTTCTTTAGCTTGTTCTGCCTTTCCTGTTTCTTAGATTTAGTGGTCGAAGGACTGCGGTGTGTAGTTTTACCAAGAGACCTTTGCCACAGATTTCTGCTTCTGGCAGAATCTAACACACTCAGAGGAATAGAAACCTGTGGAATACTCTGTGGAAAACTGGTATGCCCTTTGTTTCATATCTTTCTGCCCACGATACATTCAGTCATCGTGACTTTCTCGTCATAAGCAGAACAGAATAAACGCATCCTAAGAGTTGCAAAAATTATGAGGTTATCTTTACCTAGATTAATGAACACAAAACCACTGTCATTATTCGTGGAATGGTCCTTCCAGGAAATGGGTTGTAAAATTTTAGGGATACCGTAAAAGCTTGTTGTAAAGAATAAATCAAACCACATGCTAAACCTTTGTTTAGAAAAATGACAGATCAGTGCTCGCTTCGGCAGCACATATAGAAAAATGACAGATCAGGGGTGCCCGGGGGGCTCAGTCGGTTGAGCATCCAACTCTTGGTTTCAGCTCAGTTTATGATCTCCGGGTCGTAAGATCGAGCCCCGAGTCCGGCTCCGTGCTGAGTGCGGAGTCTTCTTGAGAGTCTCTCTCTCTCCCTCTGCCCATCCCCACCTGCTCTCTCTCTCTGTCAAATAAATAAATAAAATTAAAAAAAAGGAAAAATGATGGATTATAGGTCTCCAGATTTCCAAAGCCATCTAGTTTTCTAAATCAGATTTCTATTGCAATTGTTAGTTTCCCATATATTTATCTAATGAACTCCCTGTTCTGATCCGAGGCAAGTGTCATCTCACCACCATTTTGCAGATCCATATGGAATAAAACTAGGGTTCCGTTGTTGTTGTTGTTGTTTTAGTTGCACACAGTAGTTTCAACAAGCTGAAATCTTACGGCACAGGTCCTATTTACGTATGGAAGATTTTACCAGAAATATGTGATGAAACACAATGTCAAAATAGAAGGAGGACCACAGAGAGAAGATGCGTTTAATTTGCTAGTTGCAAGAAGGATAAATAATGTCTTATGGGAGGTGCCCTTTATAGTGTCACTTGGGTCCAGGGGCATTTTCCACCCTAAACATTTAGCTTGGGAACTGTTGCTTAATCAAATACGTTCTATTCAGCACACATTGTCCCCACTGTATTCCCGTTCTGCATCTTCATGTGTCCTCCAGGAGAGAGGAAGCACAGGTGACCAACACAGGAGTGTGACCCACCCTGTGCTCCCCTCAGCCACCTTGTTTGTCCTTCAGGGGCAATGTGCTCTGGATGCTTCCTCAAGACCATATGTGGTACCTAGTTTGATTGATTGATGGAGTCATTCATTCATTCTTCACTCATTCCTTCATTTGTTCCTTCACCCGACGGACATGTACTGAGTACCTAGATGTGCCAGGCACTGCGCTTGGTGTTGGCATTCTGTAGCCTCCAACAGCCATAGTCTTTTCTCACATGATGCCTCTGAAGAACCAGCCAGATGACTAATTCTCAGTGGGGCAGGAAAGCCCTCAGACCAGAGAGAAGGGGGTGTTTGTGGAGGGCAGACAGTCCCTCCCAGCACCAGCATCTCTTCCCTGAGCATCCTATCACTTCTTCTCAGCCCCCTTCCTTCAACTCTTCCCTTGACCTGAAGGGAGTAATGTGTTTTTCCTTTTTCGTTTTCTAAATGCAAACCCAAAACATCACCTCAGTTATGGAAAATCTCAGTGAGTTCCCCCGGTGGCAGGAGGAAATTTAGGTCTGGATGTGAAATGAAGTATGATTAATAAAATAAAAGCGAGACCATCAACCTCCACAAACCTTAGAAATGTCCCTCAGTAAAGCCACAAAACCATTGAACTAGTATCTCCCCCTCCAAATAAGCCTGCTGCTATTTTGTTCGGATTTTTTTCCCCTGTAAATGTAGTATATCAAGACATTATTTATTAACTGAACGATCATGGACCAGCCCGGGATGCGAACTCCCATTTGTTACACATTTTCTGTTGTGAAAAGAGGTTTTGAGGTCCAGAGAGGTACTCCTCAGCTTTTTGGCAAATTATCTACTTTTAAGTGTGAGGCTTTGATTTTGAGGATGCGGGTGGTGGGGCACTCTCTAGTCTTACAGCAAAACATTGTACTTCCAGCTCAGGCTGTGGGTTTTTTTCTCCCAGATGCTTGTTATTCTTTTTGCTGATTGTTTTTTAGACACATAATGAGTTTACTATCACCCATGTAATTGTGCCAAAGCAGTCTGCAGGGCCGGACTACTGTGATGTGGAGAATGTGGAAGAATTATTCAGCATTCAGGACCAACATGGCCTCCTCACACTGGGATGGATCCACGTACGTGTGACCTTTGGCTTTCAGTGTATTTTCCATGGGGTGCTGTTTTCCTCCTTGAGGAAATTTAGCTTCCTTTAAACCGTTTCTTCTTGATTTTTTTCAGGTGGAATAAATGTCATCATATTAAAGCATTCTCTTCAATGTTAGGCCATGTCTAAATCTGTCAGATCTGGATTTGGACAGAGTTATATTAGGCTTTTTTTTCTTACCATCCAATGTTGAAAGAGAGAGAAACATTTGGAAATTGGGTGACTTGCTTTGATGATTTTACATAGTCTAATGGAGACCTAGTCAGATTTTTAACTAATTCGATGAGACCATTATTAATGTTCTCTTTCTCTTTGCCATGGGTCAAAAGTAGATTGTTTTAAGAAAATTTCTGAAAATGTTTCTTTGAAACAGATGTTTTTATATATCAAACAGGAACCATACATTCTTCCGCATCTCCCCTACAGGCCAAGGAGGAATTTATCACTGTACAAACAGCTATGGTGGGGCCAAAAATTTTGGGTTCCAACATCCACTGGGCCATCGTAGGAGCGAGAAAAGGCTTGGCATGAATTAAAAGACATGAGTTTAAATCTCAGTTCTGCTAAAACTTCCTTACAGGAATGTTGGTAAATCATGTAAACAACCTGGGCATCAGCTTTATCATCCATAGCACAGATGTCATAATAATTGACTTCCTGCAGTGGTCCATAGTAAATGAGATAATGCCAGTGAATTTCGTGACACATTTTTCTAGGAACTCAAAAAATGGTAGCCATTGGTTTTGGTGATGATGCTCTACTTTTCCTGTCCATGGTTTAATCTGTCTGGGGGACATTTTTCCATTCAGGCTTAGATACATGTGGACCTGGGGTAGGGACAAGTCATCCCACTATCATGGGATGATGCCCAAGATTTTGAGAGAGAATGTGGAAGAATTCAAGAGCCCTTGAAGAGAGACTAGTGGCCATTTTTCATTTTACTTGCTTTATAAGGATGCAGTAAGGAGGGGCAGGACACACACTTAGATGGCCCCGTCCCTCCCCGCACACAAAATCGGCAAGAGCTTTGGTGTTACATAATTTCAGAGGTAGAAGAGACTTTAGTCCCAGCTCTACCTAAGTTCCTTTTTTTTAAGATTTTATTTATTTATTTGCGAGAGAGGGAGAGAGCATGAGCAGGAAGAGGGGCAGAGGGAGAGGGAGAAGCAGGCTCCCCGCTGAGCAGGGAGCCCAACATGGGGCTCCATCCCAGGACCCTGAGATCATGACCTGAGCCGAGGGCAGACGCTGAACCGACTGAGCCACCCAGGCACCCCCTCCGCCTAGGTTCCTATGTGTTCTTCGTCACTTCCTTGCTTCCAGGTGCCGCACTGAGCAGCTGGGGCTAATGAGTGCCCTCCTCCCTCCCTCACTGGATTTGTGTGAGCCGTAAACAAGACATCAAGAGTGAAAGCCCTTTGAAAAATATAAACCACCTCTCAAACGCAAGAAATGATTTATGATGAAGAGTTGGCAAAACTTTCCATATGTCTATTTGTTTTACTTAACAGTAAGTAATGTGCCTTAGTGGGTGCTTAGAAATTGCTGAATTTTAAAAGCGCTCTTTAGTTTAATGTGATTTTCTGTAACAGGAATGTATTTTAAAGCAAAATAAATTGTAGCAAAGAAATTATAACACAAACTGAGAAAGAATGACGGTCCATTATATTATACTTACACCGAAGAGTCGATGTTAGTTTATCTTATAAAACATTTCCCAAATTAAAAACAGGTTTTCCCTTTATGACCTGTGTATATAATATATGCACTAGTGAAGTTAAGTCATTTAGATGATGAATTTGGCAAAATTTTAGAATTCCAGGATTTTGCTTTCTGTTTATTTCACCATGGCAAATCATTTTGGTTCAATGCAAACCCTAAAACATTGTATTTCTAAATTTTAATGGTTGCAAATGACATTTTGTGATTTTTTTTTTTATCGAATAATAGTAGCAACACATTCCAGAGCTAGCTTTTTTCAGATGTAAGCTAGTCTTAGGAAAGAAGGGCTGAATCAGAATCAAATAGGGCTAGGTTCGCATGTGGACTTAGCTTAACTGGCTCCCCGCACATCGGCATTATTTCCTCTTGTGCTTAGCTCAGTCTTCTCATCTGTGAAGTGGACATGGTAATAGCACTTTTCTGATGTTGTTGTAGGAGTTGAATGAGGTAATGCGTGGGAGCTGATTCGCTCAGTGCCTAAGCGAATGGAATCTGCAGCCATCGTCATCATCATGGTCCTGGCCATGGTCATGGTCATTTTTATTTCTATCGAGGGGGTGAGGTGGGAGCGCCATTCTCCCATGGAAGAGCTATTATTATCTGAGTGGCGGTGATTCCTCCTGGCAGAAATGTGCATTCAGTCTGCAAATAAATGGACAGGCAGAGTGATTTGTCTCTTTGACAGTCTGCTTGCTGCCTCCACAGCGTTGGAGTCCCACTGAGCAATCCGTACTTTCTCACCGAGGCATAGACGGTTCTATGCCGTAACAGAAGGTTTGCATTGAATCAGATGAACAGGCAGTCAGACCCTCCTGCTCATACTCTCACTAAAGCTTTGGGTTTTAAAAGGTAGGATAATTTCCAGTCCTTAGTTGACCTACATCTTTGAGACCAAGACCAAGAGTTACTTTTTCCTCACAGAATACGTAACTTCTGTAAATAGATATCAACAACTTTTATTTTCATTCTGTTAAATCTGCTAGATAAAGTGGAAATGAGTTGTAATATCTTGCATTTCTTTAGCAGACCATAGTTAAGTGTAAGGGCATGAAGCCATGCCCTTTAGTTAATAATGACGATATTGGGGCACCTGGGTGGCTCAGTCGGTTAAGCGTCCAACTCTTGGTTTCGGCTCAGGTCACGATCTCAGCGTCATGAGATCGAGCCCCACATGGGGCTGTATGCTCAGCGGGGAGTCTGCTTGAGATTCTCTCTTCCTTCTCCCCCTGCTCCCTTCAAAGAAAAAAACAAAAAACAATGATGATATTAAAATAACAACAGCAATAACACAGGGAATGATTTTGATTCCTTTCTGTGCGAGGCACTTTTCTAAGAATTTTACATGGATTGTCTCATTTAATTCTAATGTAGCAACCCCATGAAGAAAATGATTACTCTCCTTATTTTATAGCTGATGAAATGGGCATGAGGGGGTTAATCTTAGTGTCATACAGCCAGTGAGCAATGGGCCCAGGACCCAGACAGTGCATGCTGGGGACCTTGGTTTCATGCTTAAAGTGGTCACATTCCTTTTTCAAGGGTAACTGGGGTTGACTATGAATTTTAAAATCATGCTGGGTGCATGTATTTTTCATATTCAAGTGTGAACCTCTGATCTGTCTCTCGTAAACACAAGCTTGTATATAGCCAAAAACCTGGAAGATACATCTTTCGATTCATAATCTCCCATTCCTTCTCATCATATGGGTATTTACTCACTGTGGAAGATGAGTCCCAAACGCCTCCAACAACCCGGAGAATTCTGTCCTCCCATTTGTAGGGAATGATGATCCACGAAAGGACACACAGCGCAATGTGGTAAATTCATTGAAAGCATTCCTTTCGTGTCCATGGTTTTGTATAAAGTATCTCTGTGTTTCCAATCACAGCTGTGTTCCTGACCAGCTGTGTGACCACGGGCAAGTTACTTAAAGGAACCTCGGGATCCTGTGTGTGAAACTGAGATGCTAATAGAAGCATCCCCTAGCTGCGTTGTGATGAGAACAGTTCTGTTTGTTCTAATAAGCAGAAAGTACATGAACACTTCCAAGAGCCTCTTCTCAAAGTCGTGGTTATTCCCAAGGTGCATGAGGGGAAGGATTATGTCAGCGACACATTTTTTTAAAATCCTGATTTGATTAATGACGGTAAAAAAGAAAAAGCCAATTACAAGAGATTTCTCTGCAAATGGGCTGTGGCCTCGGCTAAGACAACTCCTCCAATAAGATCGTCCTCTTTTCTGTCCATAGACACACCCGACCCAAACTGCATTCTTGTCCAGTGTTGATCTTCACACTCACTGTTCCTATCAGCTCATGCTGCCAGAGGCTATTGCCATTGTTTGTTCACCAAAGCATAAAGAGTAAGTGTACCTGTGGGCGGGGTCCGAGTGAGGCGTTGTCCGGGGCTGCTGGGTTCAAGTGCGTCCACGTGGCAGGTGGTGGCTCTTGGATAGGCAGGCACCCGGTGCCCTTGGGAAGCGGAGATTGGTGCCAGCCAGCTCCCCTTTCCCTATAGCTCAGCAGTCTTTTGGTTTTTAAGGTCCTTTCGTAGTAGAATTACTGGTTCTCTTTACTTAGTGAGCATGATCTCCACGTGGATAAACTGGATGTTGCATCAGTTTGCCTTTTGAGATCGTGATTCTCCTGTTGTAAGAAAATTTCTAGCCTTAGCTTAATGACCTCCAAAGCCTTTCTAGGTTTGGGAGACAATGACTGTGAGAGAGTGATTATGAGCAGAAGAGTCAGACTTTGAGTGGAATCCTGCCCCCAGCCTCAAATGGTGTGTGGCTAGCCGGATGCCTGACCACCATGAGCCTCAGTCTCTTTATCTCTGGCACCACCCGTCGGGATCGATGTGAAGAAGCTGATGTGTAGAAAGGGCTTAGCGTAGTGTCTGGCCCCACAGTTAGCACTTGACAAATATTTGCTGTTTCTTTAAACAGTGTCTGTGTTATTAGAGAAAGTAGAAATATCTTCCACCTGTGATTTCCTCCCACGGGGCCTCCATTTTCCATTCTAGTCTCACAGGACAGTTCAGCTGCCCCTCTTCCCCATTGCAGCCCAGCAGGTGCGTGGAGTTCGCCTTGGCGCCTCGGGAGTTTCTCTGCTCTGGGCCAGTGGTTGCAAAATTGGTTTAAAAGATCACTATGGGAAAAAGAAAAAAAAAAAAAAGATCACTATGGAGAGCGCCTGGGTGGCTCAGTCGGTTAAGCGTCGGACTCTTGATTTCAGCTCAGGGTCATGAGATCGAACCCTGCGTCGAGCTCCTCACTGAGCGTGGAGTCTGCTTAAGATTCCCTCTGCCCCCCCTCCCCGCCCCCCACCTGCTCGCTCCGGAAAGCCAAATGGTCTTTAACTTCTATTCCCTTTGTTTCCACCCTGAAACAGCACCGGCATTTTCAGGCTCACCAACGCTGGCATGCTCGAGGTTTCTGCTTGTAAAAAGAAGGGTTTCCATCCACACACCAAGGACCCCAGGCTGTTCAGTGTGAGTAGACTGCGCTGGCTATGTTTTTTTTTTTTTTTTTACAGAGACTTATTTTTCACCTCTTCCTTTTTTCCTTTCTCCTTGAAGGAGAGAAACAGTAACAGTGTAATATGGGAAAAAACACTGAAGTGCTTAGTTTGGGGCTTTCTTATCCTGAAAATTGATCAAGCTTTGTAGTTACTTCTGATTTCTTTGCACGATCATTTTATTTACAAGAGAATACCAGTGTTTCTATAGCCCAGCTGATTGTGCATAAAGTTACCTTTCCATTTCTAAATGTTTCTGTGTGATACTTAAGGAGATGCAGTTTTCCTCAGACTCCAAGTAAGCAGACAATGAAAGAAAATGATATTTAGTGTCTCGTGAATTCCTTCTGTCCGATGTGGCCAGGTTAATTTTTTCATAACAGTACACTGAAAACTGTAAGCATACTTCTTGATTAGCTAGTGTAGCCCCAGAGAAACACTATTTGACTACCTTTTTTCTTTCTAACTGCTTGCCTGGTGGTTCTCTGGTGGTAACGTCAGAGAAACATTGTTTTGAAGTTAGAATCTACGTAAAATGACAATTACTTGGCAACCTCTATACGTGTGTTTCGGTTGGAAATGAATAAATACGATTCTCTTTGTTCTGATTGGAAACCTTTTCAAAATTAGGAACGTTTTTAAGCTAAGAAATTCATATTCCCTTTCTGCAGAGAACCAGGGTAAACATTACGATGTAAAACCAATTTTTTTCTCACCTAGATATGCAAACATGTGTTGGTAAAAGACATAAAAATAACCATGCTGGATCTAAGGTGATGTGTTCCGAAGATTAGCACCGTCGACCCCAGACACCTACCCATGGACGTGCGGTTGCGGATTTTCTTAAGACGTTTCCTGAAGTGACTGATATTTTGTATTTATACATTTTAGATCAGAAAGTTTGATATTTATTGTTCTTGCCCATTTTGAAGTTTCCTTTTCGGGGTGCTCTGTCTCCGGAGAAGTCACAGTTGGGTTACATCAATAGCTATGAATGCACCCAGATACTACAACCGCACCATAAATAATGCTGCAAACAACAACATGTCCGGTGTTCGTAGAGGTCTCCGCGCGTGTTTTCAGAGCTTCCCATGCTTCGCTGTATTTTTTTTTTTCCTCGTTCCTATTAAAGGTCATTCCAAACAAGAGATGCTGAGTACCAGGGGGTCTCCCAGACAGGCCGTCTGTTTCTGCCATGCTTTCCTGTGGTCGAAAATGAGCAGTTTCCCCGTGTGAGAAGAAACGTGGCTGTAGACGGTAGAGCGGTCTTGCGTCCAATGTCAAGCTCAGAAATACGTCTGCAGCGGATCCTAGTGGAGGATACCAGAATAGCGAGCTTCTACTCAGGGAAGGGTACCAGAGGGCGTGGGATTAGCAGACGATTCATTAACTTGACTGAGAGGACTAAAAGCAGAGACGCTTGAGAGAAGAATGAAAAAAGACTCAGATGAAAGTGTACAGCTTGTTCCCGTGAAAGTTAATACGGGTGACGGGGAGAAGAAATGAAGTGTAGGAAATAACTGATCATTCTCAGCCTGAGAGAATAAGAAAATAATTTGGAAAGTGTGCTTGCAATTAAAAGCACCTCTCTATATATCAAGGCACAGGGACCTGGAAGAAAAATACCTTTAAGCTGAATAAGGTGACATAAATACAGCATTATGGTTTTACCGAGGCTTGGATTGGGATTTGTGACTGGGTATCTAGATAATAAAAGCATTTACCTGGGTCAAAAGACAGTGATTAAATAGAAGGAAGGGGAGGTTTGTGGAGACAGAATGTGACTGTATTCAGAGGTAAAACGTTTAAAGGGGCAATTAAGGGGCGCCTGGGTGGCTCAGTCGTTAAGCGTCTTGCCTTCAGCTCGGGTCATGGTCCCAGGGTCCTGGGATCGAACCCCGCATCGGGCTCCCCACTCCGCGGGAAGCCTGCTTCTCCCTCTCCCACTCCCCCTGCTTGTGTTCCCTCTCTCGCTGTGTCTCTCTCTGTCAGATAAATAAATAAAATCTTTAAAAATAAAAATAAAAATAAATAAAATAAAAAATAAAGGGGCAGTTAAGGAAAAATGAGGCCACTAGAGGGCGCTAATCCAATCTGACTGGGGTCCTTAAGTGGAGAAGATGCAGACGCAGAGAGAAGAAGACCCCGAGAGGACTCAGGGAAAAAGCAGCCCTCTCTACAAGGAAAGATGCTTCCAAAGAAACCAGACCTGTCCACACCTTGATCCCAGACCTCCAGCCTCCAGAACCGTGAGAAAATAAATTTCCACGTCGTTTGAACCACTCAATCTGTGGTATTTTATTATGGCAATCCAGCAAACTCATAAAGTACCTAATAAATAGTTACTGAGGTTGTTTTCTTTTTTTCTCTCGCGGACGGAATTGGAAATGACTTTCTTTGTTGTCGTGCAAAATTGCTCTCTTCTCCAGGGACCTTGTCAATTATAGAAGAGCAAGGCAGGTTTCTGTGGGTTATTCTCAGCTCCTGAAGGTGCTCTTGGATTCTTCTGAGAAGTGTTTTGTTTGCAGAACAATTGGCATTATATTCAAGATGCAGTGTCAGTGAAGGCCATATCCCGGGGCTGGTTCCATATGTCCCCCCAATTCATCCCACGCTGCAGACACACAGGTCATGCCGGAGACTGTGTTATTTACAGCTGCTTAGACTGAGACTGAGGTTTTTTTTGGGGGGGGGGAACCAGCCACAGTGACCCCAACACGTGGAAAGCAGATGTTTGTCACCTGGCACGTCTTATAGAATTATGTAGCGAGAGAACGTTTTATGTGAAGAGGATGCTTGAGAAATGTCACGTGTTGGGTACTGATCAAGGAAAAGAGGAAAACATTCAGCTCCTTGTTCTTGGAATTTAGTGTGTTATTTGTCACGAAGACAACAAATAAGCCAAAAAACTCTCCTCTGTTCCTTTAAGAAATGTGTTTCCTTTTCTAGCGTCTTGGCTCTTCATGAGGCAAGAATGTCTTTTCCTTGGGGACAGTTGACAAAAACATTAGTGGATGTGAGTCATCATACTGATGTCCGAGAAGACTCTTTTTTTAGTTATCAAAAGGCACGTCTTCTTTTGGATTGTTTTGACAAAAATACCACAGACTGGGTGGTTTAAACAACAGACATTTATTTCTCTCAGTTCTGGAGACCCGAAGTCTGAGGGAATGCCGGCACGTTTGGGTTCAGAGCTCATCTGTCTCCAGTGTCTTCTTATAAGGACACTAAAGTCCCATCATCAGGGCTCCACCCTCCTGACTCAGCCACCCCCTCACACCATCACACTGGGTATTCGATTTCAACATACGGATGTGGGGGCGCGGGAGGGAGGTACAAACATTCAGTCCATAGCAAGGCAAGTGCCAAAAAGCTAATGTTTTATCCATTTGCCTTTTTTTTTTTTTTTTGGAAACGCTGTACATCTGAAATCCCATAATTACATTAAGAAGAACCATTCATGAGAATGTGAATAGCTGTTATTCTGTTCCCTGTAATCTGGTGTTCAAATGCCTTCAAACAGATTTACGGAATTAAGAAGATAGTTGTCAGTTGATTAAGTCATGCTAGGTATTAGTTTCCAAGAACAAATTTCTCTAAAAGAAAGGGTTGTGTTTTTTTTTAAATTAAAGCAATATATCTTATATTAAAGTTTTATACTTATGCTTTTAATCTTATAATATTTTTATAATTAAAAGAATTTAGTAAAATCCGTATTCCTGTGTAAGAATGATCAGAGAGAAGCTAGAGAAATGGAAAAGATGACAAAAATCCAGGGGAGAGAACATTACTTAGAAAGGAAACTAGCCAGAATTCAGCGTGCAGCTGGGGCAGTGTGGAGAATGAGGGAGAGAAAACAGAGTAACGGGGAAGGACCCTGGGGGAGGGTGGGTAGGATGAGTGTTGTAGACTGCCGTACCGAGCTTGCTTGAAGTAAATACCTTGGGCATTATCTAAACCAAAAGACACTCTAAAACCAGGGAGATAATTTTTCCCCTCCACCAGGGAGGATTACCTACACAGCCACATTTACTCAAGTTTAAAAATCTTCCGTGCAGTTATTCCAAGAGAGAAGTGCATGGACAGACCGGTCAAAAAATAAGTTTCACAGGGTTTTCGCTCACTAAAAGGCTGATGGACAAGACAGACAAAACAAAAGAACTAGAAGACATTTGCTCTATTCCTGAGTTCAGGCAAGGTTTTCTCACTTCCAGAAATGAGGCGTATGAATTACTGATTTCGCAGGTTCCTTGCAGCAATAAAATGTTGTACTTATTGAAGTTTTTTTTGCAAGGCAATACACTATATTTGTTTCCTGTTTTTAAAAAACTATCTGTTGAGGTAAAATTCATGTGACGTAAAACTAACCATTTTAAAGTGAACAATTCAGTGACACTCAGTACATATGTAATATCGTGCGACGGTAATATCTGACTGGTTCTGAAACGTTGCCGTCACTCCGAAGTGAAACTCCTCACCCGCTAAGCTATTCCCCCCCCATTTCTTTCCCTCTGGCTTCTGGCAACCACTGACTTGCATTGTCTTTATAAATTTATCTATTCTGGAGATTTCATATAATTGAAATCATGCAATGTGTGAACTTTTGTGTCTGGTTTCTTTTACCTTAACACTGTGAAGGTTCATCACGTTGTACCATGTATCAGTACTTCGTTCCTTTTTAATGTCTGACTAATATTCCACTGAATGGGTATGTCACAATTTGTTCGTCCATTCATCCAGTGATGGATGTTTGGAATATGTCCCCCCTTTGGGCTATTGTGACGAGTGCTTCTATGAACATGTGTGTAGATGTACTTTTTGAGTATCTGTTTTCGCTGTTTGGGGGTATATACACAGGAGTAGAATGGCAGGGTCATATAGTAATTCTATCTTTAACTTTTTGAGGGACCGCCAAACTGTTTTCCATAGAAGCTGAACCATTTTGCATTCCTGCCAGCAATGTACAAGGGTTCCAATTTCTCCACATTTTTGCCAACACTTATTTTTTTTTTTTATGATCGCCATCCTAGTAGGTGTGTTTTGTAGTATCTCATAGTGGTTCTGACAGAGCGGTACATTATTAACTTAATTCTTTTAAAGTCAAAATTTTAAAAAAAATACTTATTTATTTAATCTCTACACCCATTGTGGGGCTCGAACCCACCACCCCGAGATCAGGAGTCACACACTCTTTGCCTGAGCCAGCCAGGCATCCCAAAGTCAAATTTTAATAATAAAGTCCAAGCTGATTCTGAAGATGCCTGAGGCTTCTAGAACTCTTTGTCATCACAGATTGTGGGGCACCCAGTCCCAGGCATTTATCAAGTTCACTAGAATATGTTTAGAAGAATTATTTTATCAAGGACGGTCGACTCTTTGGATTGGGTAGGATTAGAAATACAGGAGAGAGGGGCGTCTGGGTGGCTCAGTCGGTTAAGCATCTGCCTTCAGCTCAGGTTGTGATCCCAGGGTCCTGGAATCGAGCCCCACGTTGGGCTTCCTGCTGGATGGAAAGTCTGCTTCTCCCTCTCCCTCTGCTCCTCCCCCTGCTTGTTCTCTCTCCCTCTTTTAAATAAATGAATAAAAAAATCTTAGAAATACAGGAGAGAGAAGTGACAAGAGCCATACCAATGGCACTTAAATACTACTTTTATTTGTGTGAAACTCAGTGGTTGATGTATTCACACGGGAGAAGGCCACCTGGGGACATCCATCTGAAATCACAAACTTTTTTTTTTTTTTTTTTTTAAGAACAAGGGCTAGTTCTTAATTTGAAGCATAGAATTCACCAGCTTCATATATTTTTGTGTGGACAGGTGATGCCATTTTGTAGAGGAAGATCTGACGTTGGATGATTTTAGGCCATTTCTTAAGGGGTTTTAGGTTGTAGCCTCTGCAGAGCAATCTAAGGAGGGGAGGAGATGATCGGTCCAATGATAGGACAGAGGAATACGCTCCAAAACCAAATGTGGAGTGTAAAAAAGAGACATGACCTAAGAAAGAATACGAAAACACCATCTTTGGATTTGGTGGGTCTAGAGTGCCACCGATTTTTCTCAAAGTGACATCTGAGCTTCAGCCTCTGAAAAACTGTCATTAACTACACTACATAAAAGCCTGTGTCCTCATCAGTTTTCCTGAAAGATAGCATAAGTTACAGAAGCAACTGGCAAACTATAATCATTCATATTCCCTTCAGACTTCAAAGGGGGCATGGAGTTATTACAAGAACATTCTAGAAGAGCTGTAGCCATCAGGAACAAATCCGAGAGGTGGCAGTCCTTGGATGTTCATTTTCCCGGATACATTTCTGAAAACGGGATGACGAATTCAACCCGCCAGACGAAGCACTCGTGAATGGCACATGAATCCGACAGATAGCAACTTTCTCACTCAGCACTCGGCGGAGCTCTCATGGCCTGTAACAGCTGTCTGATTTCAAGACCGACGTTTCACGGAGAAAACGTTACGAACTCCGCTTTGGAAAAATCACAGTCAAGTCATAGTCAAACTTCTAAAGTCTATGTGTGATTTGATGCTTTGGGGTTCTTTTTCCAGTTCCACATAGGGGTACCCTGCTTCATCCCAGCCTCTGCGGGGAACCCAGGCCACCTACATCCCACTTCTTCCCCAGCCTTAACCCCCCCAATCAGCTCCCCGCCCTGTTTTCCCAGTTAACTCTAAGTTTCTCGTAAGCACTACCTCCTCAGGGGGGCCTACTGGTCCCCCATATGCATATTTACCCTTTTGTGATCCTTACACGGCACGCTAGCTACCAGTGTAATGTCCGTCTTCCCGACTAGACCCAAGGTTCCGCCCGCCAGAGCCATGCCTATTCCTCGGTATGGTTCACCGCTCTCCCAGTCCTGGCTGACAGCAGGTGGCTCTTCAAGCAGCACCGGAATTGAGTTGGGTCTCCCGGGAATGACCATGACTTGTACATCCGGTTTTCAGACTCTGATATGTAACAGCCACATCTAGGCCTGGGTCATTCCCTCCTCCTCTCTTCTGCATATCTTTTTGAATAAGCATAGCTGCAGCAATGGCTTCTGGTGGAACCGTGTATGTTGGCGCAGGCAGCCTTCCTCCCTCACTGCAACCGGGACTGCTTCTCCGGGCTGTTCCATGTTAGAAATCCTCCTGAAGATACGCAAGCTCAGCCTGGCTGCGCACGGACAACAAAGACTCATTTGGTTCCCCAAAAATAAATGAATAACGCTCCCACTCATCTGTTCACAGCAAAGGTGTGAATCAATGTCCCTAGAAACCCATGTCATCTTGGGGGGGGGCGGTTTGCAGAAGCCTGTCATAGGAAAATTCATGGGTTTGAGAATCTGGTTCCCTACT